GGAATAGTGCTGAATGCTGCTGAGAGATCCAGGAAGGTGAGTGTTTAGGACTGACGCTGAGGTTTAGTGGTACACAGGTCACAGGGGAGCCTTCCAGGAGCAGTGTTTAGGTGTGGTAGCTTTAAAGCTTGGTTGTAATGGATTAAGAGAAAATGGGAGGAGAGCAACTGAAGGTGACAAGCATAGACTACTCATTTCTTGATTTTACCAATTATAGGGAACAAAATGGAAATAAGATTATTGAGTAGTCTATTTTGTTTTTAATGACTGAATAGGATGTTTGCGTGCTGATGGGAAATGATCCAGTAGAGAAGGGAAAATGGTGATCTAGGAGTGGGAAGGGGGATTTTCATATTTGAATGCTTCCAAGTGGGACTGGACAGAGCAATTTGACACAATCTATATTATATTTAGATCTGCCTTTCTCATTTATGTAACTTACACTTAATTTTGCATCCCCTGGCCTAGGTAGATACAGAGCTAATGGAGCTCTAAAACATCACCGGAATCAATTGGTCAAAATGTGAATTAGACCTATTCCTGCCAAAGGAGAAAAGCCCTCAAGTGCTAATATGCCCTCCCCCTGAGAAATGTTTTTTTTTTCAACTTACTCATAAGACATACTAGATGAAAACTGACAGTCAGAAGCAGCTAAAATTCTAAAACCAAATAACATGATATAGTACAGATTTTTAGGAATCAGTGATGCATTCTATTTTTATTTCCAGAAATAAGCCTTCAAATGGACCATAGGAAATGAGTGGCTTCTGAATGCAGAAAAGACAGAGAAAATTATTAAATAGGGACGAGTGATAAAACAGCACAGGGAACAAAGGCCTTTGTCTGGTGTTAAACTTGAGCTGTGTATCCACATGAGGAGTTTATCATTGGACCACCAACATCAGTGGCTAAAAGAATTAGCAATGGTAATGTCCAAATCAGAGGAAGGCCAATGCATGAATATAGGTTTGGAAGATCAAACTCCTTGAAGGGAAAGGAACCTAATATGTGTTGATTACTGTCCTGCATATCTCTCCTCTTTTCCATTCTCTTATACTGAAATATGAACTGAAGGGATTAAATATGGTAGCCAGTCTAAATATGGTACACTGATCCTTAATTCTTGGTTCTCATTTCTCTCTCCTTTACATTTTATCCTGGCAAAGAAAAATATGTAGGGGTTAATTCAACATACTTCTAAACCCTCTGGTTAGATTACACTCATGGAAAACCTGCAGAAGAAGCTGTAGTAAGGCCACATTGAGCTGGCTGAATCTTTCCCTCAACTTCAGATCATGATTCCTCTCAAAGTCATCTCTATTCAATTTGATTCTTTCCCTCTTGTAGTCCTATCGGGCCTAGCATTGGTGACAGTTTCATTACGGTGGGACCTGTACTGCTACACATCCTTTGCAATTCCCTTACCCCTATTCACGTTGTAATTTGTCTCTTTATAAATAAGCCTCTTTAAATGGTTCTGATTTAATTCATATTTCCTATCAGAATCCTGACTGACATGGTGGTTGGTATCAAAAGTGGCTCAAGAAAATATATTCAAATTAGATCTTAGATTTATTTGGTCATATACTGAAAGGTCCAGAGATTACCTCTTTTCTGGGAGAAATAACTCAATTATAACTGATGGTGGGCTAGGAAAGAATTCAATAGGAGGCAAGATGCTGTTTGTATGGAAGTTCTGGAAAGTTCAAGCATGCCAATTTCAGTGCAATCCCCAGGAATTTGGAATAATTTCATGACTCATGATGATAACTGTTTTCCATTGGAAAGGTAGCTCTTGGCTTGTTACTGGTGAAGGCTGAATGCTTAATCATGAATGAGATATTCATGTTATCTAAACTTCCTGTCATGAGCTTAGTGTTATCTGATGCAATAAATTATGAAATTGGACATGCAGAAGTGATCTATCATAATGTGGAAGAGAGACCCAGCAAATTAAGAAAGCTCTGGAAGCAGGAGACTTATACTCACATATTACCTACTTTGGGACTTCTCTTTTGGCACATATCAATCTGTATTGTAAGCATGTGCCAATAAGAAATAAACAGGCATTGTGCTATCAGCCCATTCAGAGGTGGCTTGATACATTGTGTTGAAATAAAATTCTCTCAGGACTTCAGGAATGTTGTGTTCACTTCATTAGGGAAAACGTTAGTGGCACTGGTTGACACTGACTCATAAATAAACAAGTTAGCCCACTAATCAGGAACCTGGACTGTGAGATGGGAGCTCTAAAAGAAAGGAATATGGCTAAAACTCTTAGAATTGAGGTAGAATGGGAAAATACAACCAGAGATTGATTAGATGAACCATTCTGTGCAGTTAATCTTTTATAAATCCTGTTAGTGTTTGCTTGGTCTACATAACCATGTACTCCATAACTCAGTAGCATCTGGCTTGATAGCATGAAGAACATGGCCTGCTAAAACCTCAGTTACTCTACTGAAACCTCAATTACAAGATCTGAAAGAACATCTTGCAGTGTGTGGGTGGTGTCCTATTAGAAGCTGGAGGAGCCCTCTCACCATTTGATCTAATAATTCTCTGTGACTTTGGGTTTGGTAGTTTGAAGATTCTATTTCCCAAATCCTTCCCATCCTTTCACTAGGGAGTACTGTATTGGAAACTGAAACTTCCCTCTGGCCATTGTGGGATTCCTTGGTCCACAGATTTGACAGGCACTGAAGAGAATCACTGTAGCTGGGTGATTATCCAAGTTTCAGGAGGGAATTGAGTTGGTGGTAGAGTTGGAATTGAAGACCAAGATGACTTTGGGACTCAGGGAATGCGCTGGTTTCATTTCTTAATAATTCTAACAATAGTAGGTCAATGGAATACTATAACAACCCCAGAAGACAAGGACCCATGCCACTTGGGAATGAATATTTGGGCAATTTTACAGATAAAGCACCTCTTCAGCCAAGGTTTTGACAGGGGTGAGCAAGGGAGTGCATAGAAGGCATTCTGGAAGAAATGTCTGTTCCTTAGGACTTAGGACTCGGGACAGGGAATAGAGGTGATGGGGAATTGTAGTGGCATTTACATTATTCTTTTTTCTTGTTTCCTCCCTACCTTGCAAAATTCTCATAGTGGTTAATGGATAGTGGTTTCAGATGGATGTTTGACTAAACTGACATCATCCTGATCACAATATAGGGGCTGATGGAAATTTGTTTGGCCTCTGTTCTGGGAACCCAAGCTTTTCACTCAGATGAAGATAAGAGTGGGTGCTGAGAAGTGAACTGTGCTGGCTATTCACCTCTCTCCTCCTGGATCCGCTCTCCACCCCTCTCCAGCCTGCTCCTTGCTCCTGCATGGACTGTGTACCCAAATCTGGCCTCTCACTGGGTTTGGCCAATAGCGAACCCAGGCAGAAAGAGAGCAGGAGTGAGAGAAGGAGGTCTGTCCTCCTGATTTCCTCCCTGAGAAGCTCTCTGGGGCTGTCTGTATTCCTTGATAGATAGATAGCAACTACTGCTTTCAAGGCAGGTGTCAGCACATATCCCTTCTCCTAGGCTCCAAGCTTCCCTTCCCTCATCCCTCTTGGTCTAGTGTCAGCTCTGTTCTGGCTTCCTGCTCAGTCTGTGTAGCTTTATCACTCTCTGCCTACATCTCTATAATGTCTTTTATAAGTAAGGCTTTCTCAACTTACTCCAATTGGAGTGTGCCTTCTGATTCTTGTTGGGATGCTTACTGATAATATTTCCTTCTGTAGCAGAAAATGCCCACCCCCGTCAGTACACTTCAGTTTGTTAGTTGCCCAGGTGATAGTTCCTGTTTCAGTTCCAGTTGCTCCTGTCTCTTAGAAATGGCTGGTCACTGTAATGCATAGCTGGTCACTGTAAGGCACACTGTGTAAACCAATCCCCAATGGACAAGCCATTCTGCCTCTGCACTTCCTGCTTGCTTATCCCATATAAGCCCTGGACCACAAGAGATTGGGGCCTGATACTCTGGGATGATCGCGATTAGTGTTTGTCAATGTAAATAAGTCTGCCTCCAAATCATTTTGGGTGTCATTTTGGTGTTTGTGCTTGCCTTTGCACTTCTATCTTCTAAGCAATTTCAAGATGCTATCTAAGGACCAGGAGTACTGCTGTAACCCTGTAATCCCAGCACTCAGGAGGCTGATGATTGCCATGATTTCAAGGCCAGCCTGGGTTACAAAGTGAGTTCAAAGCTAGCCTGAAATACACAGCAAGATGCTATCTCAAAAAAAAAAAATGCTATCTAATTTAACTGTGAGAACAATTCTATTATAATAGATCTTCTCAATTACCCTATTAATATCTATCTTCTGAATTCTGTAAATTCAGAATTTACAGATGATCTTTAAAAAGGCACATCATCTCATTTAAATCAAGAGTAACTTTCCTAATAAAAATATAAGCATGGCCCAGGTTTTCTAGCTAGTTCTTTCTTCAAGTATTCAGTTTATATCTGGACTTAATCATAAAAAAGAGCCTATTTTTTATTTTTACAATTGTTAAAGAATGGCATTGGTCCTAATTCAAAATCACTTATAGCAGATTTCCTAGGAGAACATTGCTTTCCACTGTATCTCAGCTAGGTCCCTTTACCCCTCTAAGTCTTAGTTTTCCATCTGTAAAAATGTGGGAAACAATACCCGCTCCCACTGGGAACACTGCATTTACTCCTCTTTCATGTGTTTGTTCACTGACATCAGCTCTGACAAAGGTGAAGTAAAATATACTGGTCATTTATCATTCACAGACCAAGGAAATACATAAGCTAGACCAGGGCAGGAGAGCCTGAGAAGGGAAACCACACTGACCAGGGTGCCAGGAACTTCATTTTTGGCCTTAGTGACAGTTTTTTATCTTCCGCTACTGAAGTCGGGCACAATCGAGACAGCTCACGTCTTAGACTGAGGACTCTGCTCGTGAACAGTACTTCGAGCTCCATCTCTCCACTGTCATGGACTTGCATCTTCCTAACAGTGAGAATGATGTGCTTTTCAGATAACACCTTCCAGTCCATGTTCTGTTGCTGCTGCTGCTGCTGCTCAGTTCAGAAGCGGTAAGTTTGCCTTTTGGGGTAATCTCAGAAGTGGGTTATTTCATGGTGTCTTTATTCATTATTGAGTTTTCGTGTCTCTCGGTATCCGCTGTTCTCTGTGCCCAGGAGCCCTTCTCCCATTTTCTCGCTATCGAATGGCATCCATGTAAAGGTGTAGGTCAAATGTCGGGTGGCCTGTGATTCTTCCTCCATCCACTGAGATACAATTCCTCCTTCCCTTGTATTGTGTTCCAAGGCCTGCAGCCTGGTTCTCTCTGTTTATTTCATGTACATTGCCTATCTGTCTCCTGTTCTATTCTATAATACCACCACTTTAAGTGCAAGAGTCCTGTCTTTGGGATCTGGGTTTCCCCCACACCATTAGAGTACCTAATACTTTGGTGCCCCATAAATGACACTGTAAGAATCAAATCCAAGGCATCCTATTAATGCTAACAGCTAATATTTAATAAGAGTGTCCTGCATATCAAATGCTATGCTGGGAAATTTACCTTTACTCATTTACACAATTCTTTTTACAATTTCCACTTTACAGATGAAGAAATTGAGGTTCAGAGAAGTTGCCTTGTTTACCTCATGCCGCATTATGCACTGGTAGAGTTGGGAGTCAAAATCATGGTCTCAGTCACTATACCATGCTATGTACCAGAGTAGATACCATTAAATGAGATAGTGCACATAACATGACCAACAGAGTGCCTTACAAAGGGTGGGCTGTTCATGATTGCAATCATAACAACTCTACATGCTCTTAGCATCTGTAGTTCTCAGATAAAGAAACTTAACTTCTGAGAGTTGGCAGTTCACCCACGGAGAGAGAGTGGGCTCTAAATAGACAGAAAGATAGATTTGTCTACCCTTTTGGGGGTTAATCTAAGGGATATGTGCATACTGTTTATATGAAAAATCTTTTGTAACATGGTTGCTTGTCAATGTCAGACAGATGAGAACACAAGTAAGCCTGAGCCGAGATGAAGTACCTTCAGAAACACACACCCAGCATCGCAGGCCGTGGTTCAGCGGACTGTCAAGTAAGAAGCAAGTGAGTATCATTCTCACAGCAAAGCCTGTGCCCACGAAGTGCTGGCTGGTGCCAAGGCCAGAAGCTAGGACCCAGCTGAAAAGTATTCGGTTAACAGCGAATGAATGTTCAAGAAAAAAATGAAAGAAAGAAGACAGTTGAAACAGCCTACTGTGCCGTATTTAAACGTAGAGCTTGAGGGTGGACAGCAAATGGGAAAAATGTATTCTGGCTTTTAGCATGCGAGGTGATGATTAAGTTAACGTTCAGTATTGGGGGAAACAGTGTCCTTAAGAAGCGAGGTAAACCCAAACACAAACTTACAGCACAGGAAAGGAAAGGGCCGTTACTCTTCTTTAAAAGACAAGAATCTTTACCGAGAAACCGCTGAAGAATAATCACCTTTTAAGAACTGTAAAGGGCAAAAATCCAGCATCATCCTGGTACCAGTACTTGGATCCGGGCGTGGTGCTAAACTGCACAGCGAGACCATGTCTCAAAACAAAACAAAACTGTTGAGTGTGTTGCTGGGCCCACAAGGCGGTTGTTTCCTGGATTTATCCCAGCCTGGGTTCTGCTTTGTTGTTGCTGGACAGGAGATGGGAGGAACCCGGCAAATTAGCCACATCTCTATCCGACAGTGAGAGAGCGTCCCTCTTGGGTTTTACAGTCCAACAGGGGCCATGCGCAGCCATCCAAGCGCAAGCCCCTGCCGCCGCTCCCCGCCTCTGAGCTGGCCCAGGAGAGGATCCAGGTCAAGGCGCTCTTCGACTTTCAGCCCCGAGAGCCCTGCGACCTTGCGCTGCAGCGAGCTCAGGAGTACCTGGTGCTGGAGAAGCGCGACCCTCACTGGTGGAAGGCAAGAGACCGTTCGGGGTAAGACACGCAGCTTGGCTGTTATCATGCCATTTGCTGTGGACAGCAAATGCGGAAAAATGTATTCTGGCTTCTACCATTTTGTGGCCAAGACGTCCTTGCTTGCTACTGTGTGTCCTTGGGCAAGTCAGTTCCTCAGAGTTTTTGTCTTTATTTGTAAAATGGAAATAGTAATTGCTACCATGTAGGTTCTTATTCTGATTTCTACTTGGAAATTTGCCTTTTTGCAACTGGAAGGCAAGAACAGAAACAGTATTCATTTTGTATTTCTACAGTGATTAGCTTTGAAAGCAAATATTGCAGTAGTTGTGGAATTAACTTGGAAAGAAAAATATCTTGGGAGAAAATAGACTTTTATTAGTTTCAATCTAATATCCTATTAGATGCAAGCAATAGAACAGAATCTAATCTATTTATTGCAATAGGTTATTAATGTCTGACTAGTTCTGGGATGAATAAAATTCTGAGAACTACCTGAGTTCCCTGGGAGGGAATGTTGGTGTTGATTTCTAATATTTGCATTTGGAGATTACAAATATGTAAGTAATATGAGCATCTCAATTCCACACCTCTTTTCTTAATTATTTTTTCCTGATGATTTGACCCTTAATAGTTCTGAGTTTAGACTGAACATGTGGTGGAAATTTTTTAGAGGAAAAAGCATTACTGAGTTCAGGTCTGTGTAATTAGCTACACCTGTGTGTGTACTTTTGGCATGCCACAGACTGTAGAATAATAGTTAAGCGAATGATTCTTAAAACAATGCTAAGATCCTTCTTTGCCATTCTTCCTAACCCAGTCTGTTTCTCAAAAGTACACAGCTACCCATTTAGTGAGTATCTTTCTTGATCGTTTGGAATGAGCTTACAACCATGCACTGAAGTACACGTAGATTTCATTTCCCTGAATCTTATGATACTTCATGCGTCATTCAGCAGTTTGTTTTTATGTTTCAATAATATGTCTTAGAGATCTTTTTGTGATTTCAAACACTGGGAAAGGAATAGGAAGTAAGAAGCTGATATCCTGGTAATAGATGTGTAGATGGTATGTCTTACTCGGAGGTCAATATGATGTATCTCCTGAAAAATGTATATTTGGTGTCTTAGAGGTTCCCCTCCTTGGTATCAGCCTTAGAGATATATTCCTGTGCACAAGGATGCATGTTTAAGTATTCCTTTAAAGCACTGCTTATAACAGGGAAGCAACAATTAGAATATCTATGCTATGAACTACACCATAGCACACTGAAGCCAATATCTTTTGTAATTGGTGCTTTTAACCTAGTTACTCATGCTGACTTCAGATGATCATTTCAATGTCTTTTTTCTGCTTTGAAAATATTTTGCTTTGTGTTTTATTCTAGGAATGAAGGCTTAATCCCAAGCAACTATGTGACTGAAAACAAATGCACCAATTTGGAAATATATGAGTAAGTCTGCTCCTCAGTGTGCCCTCTGGTTAACCTGTGAAAATCTGGGATATTCTGGCAGCTCAAAAATGTAGATACTACTTCAGTCTGTAAAAGGGAAAGAAAGTAACACAGCTGGAAAATTTTTCAGTAAAGAGAGCTCTGATCCTTATCATGGTTGATGCATGAACTTCTTTTTCTTGAACTTGTTTCGTTTTTTAAGGCCACTTTTTTTTTTTTATCTTGTCTTTTTGAGACAAGGTCACGCTTATGCAGTTCAGGCTGGTCTGGAGTTCACTTTGTAGCCCAGACTGGTCTCAAACTCGCAATAATCCTCCTGTCTCAGCCTCCCAAGTGCTGGGATTACAGATGTGCAGCATCATGCCTGGCTCCTGGCCACTTTTTTTAAAAACAGTGACACTGTGAAGCTAAACACTTAAATAGTACTTGCTTTATTATAAGTCCTAAATGAAACATTTACTTTTAAAAATGACATTCGATTTTCAATGAATGATAAGTTAGATTTACTATGTAGACAAATTACCACATTTCGGCTCATGTTTTGATATGTTTTAGAAAAGATAAGAGCTAGGCTCTTGCTGTACTTTGGAAGAAAATGAGGCATCTTCATTAAAGTTTTCCTTGAAATCTGTTTTTATTACAAATATAGATTTGGAAGATGGGAGTGGTCTTTATGATTTTTTTTTTTTTTGAGATCATCGTTCTGCAGGTGGGAGGATTAATTTACAGGTAGAAAGTGGCAGAGTTGAGTGCTGAGTCTTTTTTAAATTTGGAATTTCAGTTTGAGCATCCTCCCTAACATACGCTTCTAGCAGTAGACAGTAGGTGATGTGAGCTGCAGTATTAAGACAGGAGTTTATTGAAAGCTAGGAATCAGATACAAAGGAATGAGAGAACTTTGTCTGGCCTTGGTACTAATGTAAGCCCAGCTGCAAGTCAAAAGTCAGTACCTCTCAGCCTGAAACAGAAACGATTCCAAAAGCTTTGGTGAATAATGTAGACTCTAGCAAAGGAAAGCTGATAACATACGTACATGATACCTCTAATACTACTTTGCCAGACTTCTCCAGTAGCCATATCTGTTCTCTCTCCCTGGCCATCTTCTAAGCTTTACCACAAGGTCTCTTCTCTCTTCTCCCTGCCACATCCTCTCAGCTGACTTGAATCCTTCAGTCCTGCCCCAGGATTTCAGTTTCCAGTAAACCAGGCCTCGGGTGGCTGAGCCACCTTCCTTGGAAGAGGTCCACAGTTACCTACTGTTACTCAAGCACTCCTTATGGGGATCTCATTGCTACTTTCAGCTGAAGGTGACCAACACAACAGGTCTCTCGAAAGGCCAGGTCACAAGAGATTTTGTGTGGAAATCTGCTAAGAAAAATAAGAAAGATAAGACTTCTTTCCATATCCTGACCCTAGTTGTGATTTTCCAGACAATTGAAGGAGATGTATGTGATAGTTCCTAACACAGCGCCCGCTGGTTGGTGAATAGGCACTCACTCCTCGGCAATGTTACTTTCTTTCCTTCCTTTATTAATTACATTGCTCACCATTTTCCCTTTTAGAGTGGGCCTCTGAGGGTAACAGATTATTTCTACTGTAGATATTGGACCATTTGAATTAAGCTACTCTGGGGTTAGGATTGCCATTTCATTGCTTTGGGCCTTGCTTTATATGATTTTTTAAAATCATCCTTTTTAGTGATTTCAATTTTGGGAAGATTCATTTTTAATTTCATTTTTTTAAATGGATCTATTAAATATCAACATAAAAGTTATTCTTAATCTCTAAAATCTATTGATCACATACTATGTGCCAAGGACCGTACTAATGACAATACAAAAAGTGCTGTCCTGGGTGAAGTACTGAACTGTGGACTTAGAAATGGGAGTAGTGTGGTTCAAACCCAGCACCACCACTCACCAGTGCTTTGATTCTAGGCAAAGTAGCCCAGTGCTTCTGAGTGATCAAGACCTCTGATGATCTAAAAAGTAGAGACAATCATGCTTGTCTCATATGGCACGTAGTAAATGCTAGTGATTAAATAATCATGCTAGTGATTATTACTGTTTCTGTGATCTGTGAAATTAACAGGCCAGGCATTCATAGTTTGGTCCTTCTTGCTGAATATTATAGGTGTAAAGTGGACCTTCATTACTCTAGCCCCTGCCCCTGCTGGGGTCACTGCATTTGTTCTGTCTGTGCTTAGTGTATATAGTCAGGACTAGCAGATGTCAGTGCTCTAATCACGACAGTGCAACACAGGACCTTCTCTGTCTTATGGAACTTAGAGTTTCATTGAGAAACAGCCATTAAAAACAAATATATAACTCCAAACTGTAGCACTATGAAGAGAGAGTGGAAGGAGTAAATGTCCTTTAGCAGTTAGCCCTTTACAAGCTCAGGTGATTACCGTTCTTGGCATATTTAATTTGCATCAGTAAGCAGCGTAGGATACCGGGAGAAAACAGTGAGGAAGAGGATAAAGTGTAGACGGGAACCTTGGGCTGGGAAAGACCATTCTTTGGAAGTCACATGAGGACTGAAGATGGGAAGAGTGTGAAGTGGGTGACTGGGGAGAGATGGGGTGTCAGTGTGCACTTAAAAAAAGCTTGTGGTACTGGGGTTGTGTCCAGGCCCTTCACATGGAGCCACATCCCCAGCTCTTCTTATATTTTATTTTGGGACAGGGGCTTGCTACATTGCTCAGGCTGACTTTGAACTTGTGATCTTCCTGCCTCAGCCTCTCATAGCACTGGGGTTACAGGCATGTGCCACCATGCCAAGCTCAATGTGTTCTTCTGATATCTCTTTTTTTTTGTTTTTTTCTCCGGTAACGGGAACCAAACTCACGACCTTGCGCTTGCCAGGCGGGCGCTTTGCCACTGAGTTAAATCCCCAGCCCCTCTTCTGATATCTCAAGGGAACCTAGGTACACAGAGATTTATGGCTACTTTCACTTTAGAGTCATATCCAAATTCTTAACATTGCAATGTAAAAACCTAGTTTTCAGCATGCTTTCAAATTCAACACGTAAATCTTGTTATACATATATATTTGAGTTAAATAAATAAGAATAATCATCTTCATTCACTCTTAACATAGAAAATATCTTTAAACAGTCCATCTTCTTTATAAATTCAATTAATTACATTTCTTAAAATATTTAATTTGCATTAGTAAACTGAATATATTCAATTATCTTTTAAATATTTCACATGCTTGACAGGGTAAATTTACAATTATAATAAGCCCAATGTAAGTCTTTAGAATAATCCTGGAAACCCAATGAATTAAACTTATAAATAAGGAAAATTAAGTGTTTTTATCTGTATGAATATCATTTTAAAATTAGTCAAATTCTATTCAATTTCAAGTAACAAATTTAAAATTAATTATCTGTTCAAAATCAGGTGAAAATTGAATACACTAGATTTCCTTGCCATGAAGCAAATTGCACATTGACTGTCTTGAACTTTATAGAAATACAAGTCTGACTTATCTCATCTCTACAATGAATCCTTCACTTTCTCAGAGTTAGAAAGCCACTAAGGGAACAGATTTATCTTCTTGGAACTACTAGAGTTCCTAGGTAAAAAAAAATTCAAGAGCATAGTACTGTTATTGATCAGCAATCTGGGATTGGTCAGGGAACTTGAGGCTAAAGGATACACAGATAATTTCAACTAGATCATAACTGGACATGCTAGATTTTTTCTTTTTTTATTTTTAAAGATAAAGATCAAAAACATATTAACAAACAAACAGACATAAACAAAACAGCACCCAAACAATAGAAGCAATACAGAGATTCAGACAAGGTGATAGAAAATTGACAATAGATATTGTATTACATATTGTTATCTTCAGATTGGATACTCAGTTAAACAAATATAGGCATTTAAGATTGATTAAAATATTAAACATTAACTGTTCATTTCAATAAAGCAATAGAAGTTGTTAGTATGACTCTCTCAGTCACCCTATGTGTTTGTGTGTTTCTTTCTCTCTTTTCCCTCATCCCAGTTGTTCCCTCCCTTTGAACAGTTTCTTTCCCTTTCACAGTATCTATAATAACTTTCAGATTTTATTTAGTATTTCAGGTTCCTAAACTAGTGAGACAATTCCATATTTACACATGCGAGTCTGATTTATTTCACTTATGAGTATAGATTCTAGTTGCATCCACTTACCTACGAAAGCCTCAAGTTTATCTTTCTTTATAGCTGAATAATATTCCATTAGGTAAAAATAATACATGTTTTTATCCATTGCTCAGTGGATGGGCATTTGGGTTGCTTCCATGATTTAGCTATTACAAATTGAGCAGCTATAAACATGGGTGCACATATATCGCTGTGGCATGATGTTTGTAGTTCTTCTGGAAAAATACCCAAAAGGGAAATAGCTGGGTTAAATGGGACCTCTAGTCTTAGTTTACTGACGGAATTCCACAGGGGTTGCTCCAGTCTACACTCCCACCAACAGTGAAGAAGGGTTCCTTTTTCCCCACAGCCTTGCCAACATTTGTTTTTGGTTGATTTCTTGATGATAGCCATTCTCTCTGGAGTGAGATGCAATCTCAGTGCTGTTTTAATTTGCATTTCTCAAATGACCAATGTTGTTGAACATTTTCTCGTGTATGTATTTGCCATTTGTATTTCTTTATCTGAGAAGTATGTATTCATCTCAGATGCCCATTTTTGGATTAGGTCTTTAAAATTTGGGGGACTGATTTTTTTTAGCTCCTTATATTTCTAGATAGAAGTCCTTTGTCTGAGGGACAGTCAGCTAAAATTTTTTCCTAATTTGTGGGTTTCCTTTTTACTCTGTTGGTGATTTCTCTACATGTGCAAAACTTTTCAATAAGATGAGATCCCAGCTGTCTATTCTTTGAAGTATTTCCCATGCAGTTTGTTGCTTGTGTATATGAATGCTATTGATTTTTGGGTGTTGACTTTGTATCCAGCTATGCTACTGAATTTGTTGATTAATTCTAGGAG